CTCCCCCCTCCCCCCTCTCTCTCTCTCTATATATATATGGTCACGTATACATATACGTTAAGACATCGAGATGTTTATGCATCCAATCTCAAAATGAACAAGCAATTATGTCTTCAATCTAAACTGCGCAAATGAGTAACTACTAATCAATCTGTTCCAACGAGTCGAAAGTTAAAGCAAGTACTTGCCAAGTTCTTAATGCATTATGCAACACCTCCCAACTGATAAAGTCCCAAAAGAACGAGTATGTATGTGTTTCATTTATAAGGATATTTTCGTGTTTTTCTCCACATGTAAAACTCAACCTGAACGTTACATATATAAAACAATTATGTATGAACATTATATGTATATATATAGAGAGAGAGAAAGAGAGAAGGGGGAGGAGAGAGAATGAAAATGAAGTAGCCATGAGCTGTAGAGCCTTCACATATAATATATTTTGCAGAAGGAGCAGTTGGGGTCAGATAGGTACATGTGTGTGTGTGTTGTGTTTGTTATTGAAACCTAAGTAAAGCATCAATTTCCAACTATCAAGGTGCCACCACCAAATCACCCCTATAAAAAATTGAAGGGGTGATTTAGGTCACAATTTTTTTTTTAAATGAATTATTTGTTACAAATGTTAAAACGAATGATTTCTTAACGATTTAAGAACGTTTCCACCTAATAAATTTTACCTCTTTAATACCTCAAAATCTGTCAAATGATCGATCAAAAAATTATTCTACCAAATAAACTAACCCAAAAATTGGAGGTATCTCACATACATAGAACCTTCCTAACCAAACTAACCTAAAACACTACCCCACCAAAACCAATTCATCTATAAGTAAACCACCCCTTTCTTCTATAAGAATCACTAAACCTTACGAGTGTGTTTCTATATTTTCATAACCCTTTTAGAAACTTGAAAATCTTATACTAATTTGAAATGGGGTTGTGCCCAAAAGGGGTGTTTTTGTGTTGTATTATGGTAACAACTTTGTTTCTACCATCAGCCTATGCTCAAACTTGTTCTAATTATGCCTTTTCAACCAACAGAGTATTCAGTGCTTGCAATGATCTCCCAGTTTTAAACTCCTTTCTCCACTACACATACAATCCATCTTCTCAAACACTTTCCATCGCATATCGTCACACAAACGTTGATTCTTCCAGGTGGGTTGCGTGGGCCATTAATCCAACGTCTCAAGGCATGGCCGGCTCACAAGCACTTGTTGCTTTCCAACAATCTGATGGGAGTATGAGGGTGTACACATCACCAATCACGGGCTACACCACGCAGTTGGCAGAAGGCGATCTGAGTTTTCCGGTTTCGGATTTGTCAGCGACGTATTCGAATAACGAGATTGTTATTTTCGCGACTTTGGGTCTGCAGAATGGGAGTAGTACTATGAATCAAGTTTGGCAAGAAGGTCAAGTATCGGGAAATGTTCCATCGGTGCATGCCACTTCTGGTGATAATGTTAGGTCTATGGGGACTTTGAATGTTCTATCTGGACAATCCGGGAGTGCAGGAGGAGCGGCAGGAAGCAGTTCGAAAACTAAGAAACGGAATGTAAGTTTTCCAAATAGTTTATTTTCTAAGCTTATTGAAAGAGCCCCATTTGGTTAGCCATAAGCTAGGTTATAAGTTGGATTTTTGCAAAGCTACTTGAAATAGTATTTCAATAAGCACTAAAGGTGTTTTTCCACATTCTTTTTCCAATTATGTCCCTTGCATCTTTCCAAATAATTTTTCTAACATGTCCTTTTGGTCATTTTTCATTGTCATCTAGCTTTTCGGCTAGTTTTTACGAAATATAACTAGTTTATCAGCTAGCTTATGAGCTATTTGGCAAACATAGCCTAATGGTCAGGTCATCAAGTCTTATATAACGATCGAAATCTGGAAATCATGCAGATTCATGGTGTTCTAAATGCAATCAGTTGGGGGATCATGATGCCCCTTGGGGCTATCATTGCGAGATACCTAAGGGTATTCCAATCAGCTGATCCAGCTTGGTTTTACCTTCATGTTACCTGCCAAACATCTGCATACATCATCGGTGTTGCCGGATGGGCCACTGGAATCCGGCTCGGCAGCCAGTCTCCTGGCATCCAGTTCACCTCCCACAGAGTCATCGGCATCATTCTATTCTGTGTAGCCACCCTCCAGGTACCCCCTCTTTATGCTTCACATCTTACCTAAACTAAATAGACTAACTGCCCTTCACATGAAAGGTACGGCTGATGATGCACTCCATATCTGCCTGTACACTATGTTATCTTGTACCAAGAACAATAAGACTTGGATTTGTGTGTGTGTGTGTGTGTGTATATATATATAATATAGGGCTATAATCAAATGAAAACCACAAAAAGATTGTGAACCGTGATAATTAACCACTAATTATGTGTTGTTTCACATTGTGAAAACAATGCATGTGAAAGTATAGTGGGGTTTCATACTGTTATATTGTAGGAAGAATAATAAGACCTGAATTTGTGTATATATTATATTAGGTGATTGCTTTGCTCGTAAGGCCAAAGAAGGAACACAAACACAGGATATTCTGGAACATCTACCACCATTCACTCGGCTACAGCATCATCATCCTAGGCATCATTAACATATTTAAAGGCTTTGATATCTTAAACCCCGAGAAGAAATGGGAAAGAGCTTATACTGGAATAATTGTTCTTCTAGCTATTGTCGCAGCCCTTCTAGAAGCTTATACGTGGTTTGTAGTGTTAAGGAGGAAGAAGGCTGCAGATGCAGAGAAGATGACTAATGGCAATGAATACGGGAGCAATGGGATTAATGGCCGTTATCCATATGCTGAAAGGACTAATGGAAGGGCTTAATTAAAAGTCAAATTTCCTAATTATTTTTGTTTTTTCTATGTATCTATATGTTCTTGTTTCACTGTTTGTTCATTTTCTTGTTAGGGTCTGAATTTTATTTAAATTAAATGGTCTGTTATTGGACCTATCTCCCCATTGATTTGTGGAGATTAGGGGTTGGATTTATTTTCTTCATGTTCTTCGGAGTTTATGCATACCTTCCCCAATTTTCATGTATGTTTCACCATCTAAGGGTATGTTTGCCAACCATAAGCTAGCTTATTTTTTGAGCTTATTGTAGAAGTTCCGTTGTTTAGCCATAAGCTAGCTTTTTCAAGAACTTTTTTCCACTTTTTTGCATTATGCCCCTTATATGTTCCAATTAATTTTTCAACTTGTCCTTTTATGTATATCATTTTATTTTGTGATCTAGTATATTAGCTAGATTATACCAAACATGACTACTTTATCTAACAGCTAGTCCATCATCCAACAACTATCTTTTCAGCTAACAACTAGATTCCCAAACATAGTCTAAGTCGAGATCTGCCTGCAATTCGAAACAGTAGCGGTGTATAATTTTGAGACATGCTAACATTATATGTCCATCTGACTAGCACAAAGTATTACAATTATCATGACTATTGGAATAGTAGTTGCAGCAACCCTCCTTTGCAGGTTGTGCAATGTGCATAAAATACCCTTAATGGAACTTGTGGTTTACATACATAAGGTACAACCCAGAAGTCATGATGCTGAAACTAATGCAAATCCTGAGATTAATAAAATTGCTAGTCATAAAGTTTGAACTCTGGACTCATAACCTAGAGCCAAGAGGGTGCGATTCAAGTGCTTTTCCTGATGAGAGAACTGAAACTTGTTATTTGCATGACGAATGCAGCATGAGTTCATATAATATGGTCCAAATACAACTTCCCAAGAAATGTTGCAGAATCATTAATTCAGTATTTCTAAGGCATATAACGACAACTCTAAAGAACCCATTGATCAGAGTCGGTACAATCTCAGTTTGATGCATTTCAGAAGCAACAAAAAGAACTTAACTGCTAAAGTTGAGCCTTCTGGACCCACGAGATAGTTGTTTAAGCTGATTGTTGTAATGCCTCAACAAATGCATCTTTGACCAGTGGGTTTGAAGCTGCTATTCGCTGGGCAGTGATGTCAAAACCATTGCCAGATCTATCACAAAACAATTAAAAAGATGACATAAGGGGCTTCATTAGTAGAATTAAAAGGAGGATTTACACCATACAGCATTATTTTCTTACGGATCAAAGATGACTCCACCAGCTTCTTTAACAATCACAGCCCCTGCCGCAACATCCCTAGGCAGAAGCCCAAAACCATGGAAGCAATGTGAACTCACAAAACCTCAACCAAATTAATGACAGACAGAAACAAAAAAAGGGATTTCCATACCAAGGACCACCGAATCCGAGCTCATAAAATAGATCAATCCTTCCACATGCAATCCCACAGAGCCCCAAGGCACAAGAGCCTCCCATACGGATTGATCTCACCTGATTAAAGAAGAGATTTGATGCTAAAGTCATTTGTCACTGACTTAAGAATCTCAAACTATGACAATGTTCTAGTTTTACCTTGTAAAGTAAGCTATTGATTCTATTTGTAGTGGCATCCAGAGTGGCCTTATCGCGTGTGGTTCCAGCCTGTTCATAAACAATGTTAGTTTACCTTTATAGTAGAAGTGATAATAAATAGTAACAGACCCTTGACTCCATCACTTTGTTTCTATGGTAAGATGATAGAATTACAATAAGCTGTATGGCCTTTTCAGTTGTGTTTCAATTGATATCCAAGTTAATAAAGTGTCAGGCCATTATACAACAGCTGCAGATCAATATTTTAATGTAAATTCATTAATGGTTCATGTGAAGGTACTGATATTTCTGAAAATCTGTGGCAGCCTTGAAACGATTAGCTATAAAATTAGGGAAATTAAAGATGTAATAAGTAGGGGAAAATACAAACTCATTTAAGTTGAAAGCATATTGCTAATATCTAAAGCAGGTGTCATGGTTACAAGAGTCCATATATGAATTTCAACAATAAACAACTTCCATTGTCGCTTCATCAAGCTTCAAGTTGAATATCGTATTTTCAGGTTGAGACTTCATGTGCCTCCATATATGAACCATGTATTGCAAATGATGTACAACAGAAATCATCACTTGGATGCTATAAACAAGTTACCTCTGTGGCAAGGAGGGACGTCAGCAGTTCAGATTGAGAAGATACTGCAGTATGTGGTAACAAAGCAAGCAACTATCAGAGGCCCTAAGTATGAACAGACTACTAGGCAAATGCATGACAATTAAGAAATATACTCACCTTTGATGGGATTTCCATTAAGGAAAGCACCTTTTCCATCAATAGCAGTAAAAAGCTACAGCTCAGAGCACACACTCATTAGTTATCTCAACGGATAATTCTCACTTCAATTGGCAGTTCGATAAAGTGTGGCATACCAACGGTTTGTCATACAGAAATTTTGCAGCTTATTTACATTATTCCGGTATAGTAAGTCTTACCTCATCCATGATTGGATTGTAAACGACTCCAACTGCTGGAACCTTTCCAATAGTAAGACCAATAGAAACACACACAAAGGGGAACCTGCAATTGGCATTTTATTCAGAAATCAATTAGAGTGACTGAATTTAGAACCAATTTTTTTTCAGGTGTAGTGATTTCAACTAAAGATTTACAAGGTACCCATGCACAAAGTTGGTTGTTCCATCAAGAGGATCAACTATCCAAGTTGGTTCATCTGTCAACTGAGTTACACCATTGGCAGCAGTGGTTTCTTCTCCAATGAACTAAGATTTATAACAGGTTGACCAAGCAGCAGAAACAAATAAGAACTCCAATTATCACAAAAAATAGAAAGAAATTTTAGTAATTAATCTAAATTGGACTAGAAAGTACAAGTTATGATCTTAAACCTTGTGGCTGGGGAAATGCTGCTTTAGATGGTTAAATATGAGATCTTCACAAGCTTTGTCAGTTTCCGTAACCAAATCCACCTGCATTGAGAAACAAGGAGATTGAAGAAAATCAAGTGTGCTTCTGAAAGTTTGTTACAAATTAACCGGCATTATGAGATACACCCTCCTTATGGGCTATGGCGTTTAATAGCTTGGTAATGAATTTATACAAGTAATTTGTAATTATTGTATTACTAATTACTTAATTCCATTTCATCCTTGAGGGCTATTATTCGATTGCTCATTCATGATTTAAACAATAAAGCTATGAAAAGGTTAAAGAATCCTAAAATGACTAACATATTGGAACATAGGGAGTGTGGATGGTATTTTCAAAAAAGACTTCTCCAAAACATTGCCATTAATTAATTTGCCATCTCTCAGCAGTGTAATAATATTCATCCTCTTACTACGGATAGCCACTGAAACACACCCACACACAAATTTCTAACAGCATATAGACCACGACAGTTCATAACTACTATATGCAGTGCATATAAAGGCACTCTGTTCTTGATTTGAATGGCCACATTAATTTATTTGATTGTTCAAACAATTCAGCATTTATAGGGTACATACTTACCAGTCCTGCAGTAATTATGTCAGCAAATCAATGTATGATAAATAGGGTACATATGTAGTTATGATTCTTACATTAAAAACACTCATATGCTGATAGAAAACAAAACAAAAACATATGTAATCCTAACAGGAACACTTTTTTCAGATATTCAACTAATTAAGCCAACAAGAGTAGCGCATAACAGATTATTGAGCTTTCACACTAAAAGAATGAAGTGAAAACACTCACGCAAACATATGAATACCAAAATGTAAAACTTGATGCAATTAAAATAAGAATACAAAGATGCAAACAAAAAATTTCTAACTTCAAATTAATACAGCATTAAAAGAGTAAGGTTTTGGCTACAGGAATAAGTAAATTGGAAAAAGGAGACGATACCGATCCTTTATGCTCCACATGCTTAGTCTGGTAAAATCCTTTCCGAATAACCTGCTTTACGCAAAAAGAAATGAAGTACGCTATGGGAGAAAGTTCAGTCAAATCTGAGCAAAATCAACAGAGTAAAAACATAGAAATTTGCTACTGATCTCGTAGTGCAAGTGTAACCTAACCTCTCCAGCTTTCTTAGCTGCATCAACTGCGACGGTGAGGAACTCATTGAATGAATCTGTGATCGATGATACAAAATAATTAGATAAACAAACTACTAGTATAGATTGCAACACACATGCGCATATAGATACATATAGAGAGAGAAATTAGAGCGAGAGAGAGATAGAAATGTGTATCATAGAGAGAGAGATAGAGAAAGAGAAAAGTCGTACCTTTTTCCGCCATGTCCAGATCGACGAAGCAAGAGTGGAAAATGGAGGAGTGGGCGATCAGGCACCGGAAGGGTGGAGAATGAGTGATGCAGTTCGAGTAAAAAAGTGACCCCATATTCATATATAAACAATTTTTTTAAGAAAATGTTAATCTCCCACCCACCCATAAATTATGCTTATACAAGAATTGTTCTGGTGCATTTTTTCCTAATATATATTTAATGGTAGAGATTTTTTTTTTCGCTTCTTATATTAAGGGGTTGTTTGTTTACATCTTAATAGGTTCATTAAGAGGTCGTCTATAAATCGTTAAGAGGTGAATATTGTTTGGTAAAAAAAATTGTCTCTTAATGATTCCAAAACCCTCTGAATAATTTTGTATCTAGGGTCTTTCTTAATCATTCAACATCCTAATTTTATATTAAACAATTACCAAACAATTATATTTTATTTTGCACTATATGATAAGAGCCGCTTAATCATTCTGACCACTTAATCATTCTACATCAAACCATTCAACAACTGTCAAACAACCTCTAACTCTCTTTCTCATCGGAACACAACACTAATTCATAATATATACATACATACATACACACACACACACATATATATATATATATATATACTAACTGTGTACCCGTACAATGCGGCGGGAGCCGTAAATTTTAACGATTTTGAAGTTTCACTGGTTTTATTAGAGAAGATTTAACAATGATATAAGTTACACTTGGTTTTTACATATTAATACAATTTAAATAAGTAAGAGTTATGATTCCAATTACAGTCTATCAATGAAAAAAAATTGTATGATAGTTTAAAATCTAACATATTTAAATGATTCTACAAATGTGTTCGATTTACACAAAGAGCAAAGAATCAAGAGATCGAGAGTGAGACCGAAAATTCTAGAGCAAGTGAATGGAAGATGAATGAGAGAACTTTTAATAACTCATGGTGAATATCAGTTTGAATCTCACCTTGGGGGATGGGGAAAATACAGAGGTATGAGAGGGGGAAGGCATGAATGAAATATGTCAAAAGTATTTTGGGAACATGAAAAGAAAATGTACTAATATGTATTGGTAACTTGTATTATATGTTATTTTAATTGTAGATTAAGATATTTTAAGAGTGAATGTATAAAGTAGTAGTACTTAATGCGTTATGAGTTGTTTTTAAAACTTTTAAGACTTTGTGCATAAATGCATAGTGTTTTGTGCATGAAAAACTATTTTTAAGACTTTTGATAAATCTGGTTTATAAGATAGTATAGATATATATATATAGATATATATATATATATATATATATATATATATATATATAATCATAAACAAACATAAATGAGCATAAATTAACATAAATAAATGGATATTCGTGAATGTAAATGAACGAGCAACATCATTGTTCGTGTTTGTTTATTAAACTAAACGAAGAGAAAATATGTGTTTATATTCTTTCATTTATTAAGTAAACGAACTTCTCACTGAAAAATTCACAAACAATTCCCTAAACATCCAGTTTGTTTACAACCCCACTTATCATTTTCATAAATATCTAAATTAATTGGTTTATATGATCTGTACTAATTAAATAGTTAGTATCTAAAATTTTCTCATAAAATACATGTATAAGATTATATCTGATAAATTATTGGTCAGTCTAATAGTTGATAAACTAGTTATATTTAATAAACACTAATTAATAAGCAAAATTATAATTTAAAATAACTTAAAATGAAAAGGTGAAAATATAAATTGACGATAATTTACCAAAAATTATTTCATTTTATTTTACCAAAAATTATTTCACATTTATTTGACCAACATTCGTAATGTTACTTTTAATATTTATAAATTATATGATTAAAATAAAAATGAATGGGAAAGTAGTTGAACATACCTTTGAAATATTTGTTTTTCTTTCCATATGCAACTACAATTTTGTGAATTATATAATATCTATATACGATAAATAGAACAAATAAATTCACATATTTTCTGCATGTTTGGTGAGATTTAAACCATTGACCTATTAGGAGACCAATGACTCATATATCACTTGACCAAAGGTCCTTTGATTGCAAGTACAAATTTTAATTAAAAAATATTTGATTTAGGGTTACACACGGATCAATGCAAAATATGTCTGACCCAAATCAAATATCGTTTCAAAGGGAAGTACGATCCATTTAAAATAAAAGAAAAAAATATTATCACGTGTGAAAAAGAGTAAATTATATGAAAATGCAGTTTATTTTGATTCAATTTCTATTGTGTAACATATTTTGATCTGAATGTTTGAAATATTATACATAACAAATCAAAATGAAGGTTTTAGAAATACGTTACGTAAAATAGGAATCATAACAAAATACGTTAAAAGGGGAAAACAATTAAAAAAGGGATCTGTGAGGACTTTATTTCGTCCAAAAAGACCAACGGTCTAATCTAGTACAGTGGAACTGATAACATTGTGGTCTATCTTTCAAAAGTTTGGAGACTTCTTTTAATTAGGGTTCAAATTTCTATATTTGTACATAATTTTTTTGGCTTACTGACGAAAGAAATGAAATTGTTTGATTTTGAAGATATTAAATTTGAATCCAGTAAAAAACTGTTTAAGGGATATGCATTTTATTCATTAAAATTAGTTATACTCTAATTTTGGTTCTTGAGGTTCAGTAGAAAAGTCTGAAAATGAAACCTGAACTTTAATAAATCTAGAAAACATCCTTGTAGTTTTCATTTTGTTCTAAAAATGGTCCTGATCATTAACTCCAATTTATTTTCTATGTTAAAGAGATGGGCATTTATGTCTTTTCATCAAAAATTTTAATATTCTTTTTAGCAAATAACTTAAAATAATATTGGATTTTATTATTAATAATATTTTTATGAACATCGGTGCGCCCACGGCCGACATCCATTCTCAAGTGTAATCTCACAAACACTCCCCTCTAGATTATAATACCTTGGATGATTAAAAACCCGACCAATCCGATTAATTCAACCTAATCTAATATAAAATAATTAAATTCGAAGCAACCCGATTTCTAATCGAGTTATAAAATTTTAAATCGTAGATATTGGGTTATTATTATTTGAACTCAACCCAACCCGATGAACCCGATATTATTTTATTTCTTGGATTTAATATGATTATTGAGTTTATGTTAATATATACATTAGACAATTACACTATCGCATACGCTCTTCATATATACATATTTTTAATCTATTCTCCATTTTCATATAACTCATTTGTATATATGTTCAGTAATATGAACATATATATGTAAATTGAGAAAAATAATTGAATGTGACATACGTAAGAAGTATGAATAAGTTGTATCAAATGGTTGATGATAAAAAAAAATTATGAATACATATTCAAGGTTAGACGAACATTTTGATGCACCAAAGTATCAACCCGATTAGCCTGATCAACCCCGTACGATTTGGGTTGGGTTGCATTTTGGTTTGGGTTGAGTTGAGCTAAGATTTTTCAAACCGCAAACATTGAGTTAGGTTGATAAAATGTCTTCAACTCGATCAACCGATGTGACCAACCTATCCATCATCCTTTTTTTAATTTATTTTTCATTTTTTGAATTAAGGGTTGTTATTATCGATCAAATGGTAATTATTGATGATCTAATGGACGTTCCTAATTCGTGTAAATCAAGAATTAAAGTATTTTTTAAATTAAAAATAAGGATGAATTTAGACGATGTTATAATTTTAAAATTATGAAAATAAAAAAGTAATATTTTTTACTCGTTATTTTGTATGATGATAAATAAATATCAAATATGGGGAATGAGGTTTGTTATGAAAAGTAGAGGAGGGTATTCTTGTCTTTTCGGGAATAACCGAATAAACTAACGTCCGAGTTAGCATATTCCATTCTCTCACATCACAAGTACCAAGGAGCATCTTCAACGTATTTTAAAGAAAATTTATATTTAATTAAAATAATTATTTTAAGGGTGCGTTTGATATGCAGATTAAATATAAATAAACATTTATATTTAATTAAAATAATCATTGTAAAGTCGAATTCTTGTGCAGAGGTAGTCGAGGTGATCCATGAATTAAAATATGTTTTGGTTGATTAGTTGTCATTTTACAATCATTATATGATATAAAATAACATTGAACAACATTTAGGGGTAATATGGTCATTTTAACAGTTTTGTCCTGTTCTGTCCTAGTCGTACCAAACATAGGACAGACAATTAGTCATGTCATGTCCCGTCCAGCATACCAAACGTTACCTAACTAAATAATTTCACTTGTTAATAATATTTTCATATTAATTGATGGGTTTGTAATTTACGTAGGGATTAAAATAAAAGAAAAAAAATGATGTTTCTCTAAATTAAGTCTGTAATTGTAAAACTAAATATATAGATTTGGAAAAACACATCTGTAATTAAGGATATATTTTTGTGGACCTATTAACTAATTTAAATATTTGGTCCTTGCAATTGCGGACCTGGTTTAGAATTTTCGTTTTTTTACATTTTGACACCTCCGCAAATTACGGACTTATAGCTATTTTCGTAATTGTTTAGAAAAAAATTGTTAAGAGATGAAACTCATTATAAAAATTGACTTTTTTAAGTAATATCTCTATTCAATTCTAATAGTTTTTATTTTTTTATTTTAATGATTATAATATTAAATTTATTATTAAAATATTGAATATATTTAATAAAAAGATTATTGATAAAATATTATAAAATAGTATTTATCACTCATGCTAATTGTTTTGGAGAATTTTTTTTTTATTTTTATAACATTTTTTTCTCGTAATTTCTCCATTTTGAAGAAAGTTTAGGAAAAAAAATTCAAGCAAAATTTTACCTAAAAGTTGATTATCAACATTCAATCATTTTGACACGAAATCCACCTGCAAGGACACTAATGTGAAGGGGCCTTCTTTGGATCACCCATGGTTGAGGCTAACAAGAGGACATGTCTTCTATTTGAACAAAGTCATCCTGCCCTTTTGTCAACTGAGCTAGACATCGAAGGCATTAACATATATTAATATTTGTTAGCAAATATTAATATACATTAGAAT